TATACTAGAACATGGGCCACCTACCCCGGAACATAAATCGCATACGGGGGTAAAGATTCTCAGTCTGGATTTTAGCTGGATTTCAGCAATTTTGGGATGGGCGTGGCCCCTGGGAGCGGCCTGAGTGGGTTGAGAGGTCGAAACTTGGTTTTTATGATGGTTTGGGATAGGTAGTACCCATTTTTATACTAGAACATGGGCCACCTACCCCGGAACATAAATTCGGGGGTAAAGATTCTCAGTCTGGATTTTAGCTGGATTTCAGCAGTTTTGGGATGGGCGTGGCCCCTGGGAGCGGCCTTAGTGGTTTGAGGGGTCGAAACTTGGTTTTTATGATGGTTTGGGATAGGTAGTACCCATTTTTATACTAGAACATGGGCCACCTACCCTCGAACATAAATCGCATACGGGGGTAAAGATTCTCAGTCTGGATTTTAGCTGGATTTCAGCAATTTTGGGATGGGCGTGGCCCCTGGGAGCGGCCTGAGTGGTTTGAGGGGTCGAAACTTGGTTTTTATGATGGTTTGGGATAGGTAGTACTCATTTTTATACTGAAACATGGGCCACCTACCCCGGAACATAAATCGCATACGGTGGTAAAGATTCTCAGTCTGGATTTTAGCTGGATTTCAGCAATTTTGGGATGGGCGTGGCCCCTGGGAGCGGCCTGAGTGGTTTGAGAGGTCGAAACTTGGTTTTTATGATGGTTTGGGATAGGTAGTACCCATTTTTATACTAAAAAATGGGCCACCTACCCCGGAACATAAATCGCATACGGGGGTAAAGATTCTCAGTCTGAATTTGTATGGGATTTCAGCTAGATTTCAGCTATTTTGGGATGGGCGTGGCTCCTGGGAGTGGCCTGAGTGGTTTGAGAGGTCGAAACTTAGTTTTTATGATGGTTTGGGATAGGTATTACCCATTTTTGTTCTAAAACATGGGCCACCTACCCCGGAACATAAATTCCATACGGGGGTAAAGATTCTCAGTCTGGATTTTAGCTGGATTTCAGCAATTTTGTGATGGGCGTGGCCCCTGGGGGCGGCCTGAGTGGGTTGAGAGGTCGAAACTTGGTTTTTATGATGGTTTGGGATAGGCAGTACCCATTTTTATACTGAAACATGGGCCACCTTCCCCGGAACATAAATCGCATACGGGGGTAAAGATTCTCAGTCTGAATTTGTATGGGATTTGACCAGTATTTCAGCTATTTTGTGATGGGCGTGGCCCCTGGGAGTGGCCTGAGTGGTTTGAGAGGTTTGGGATAGGTAGTACCCATTTTTATACTAAAACATGGGCCACCTACCCCGGAACATAAATCGCATACGGGGGTAAAGATTCTCAGTTTGAATTTGTATGGGATTTCTGCTGGATTTCAGCTATTTTGGGATGGGCGTGGCTCCTGGGAGTGGCCTGAGTGGTTTGAGAGGTCGAAACTTGGTTTTTATGATGGTTTGGGATAGGTAGTACCCATTTTTATACTATAATATGGGCCACCTACCCCGGAACATAAATCGCATACGGGGGTAAAGATTCTTAGTCTGGATTTGTATGTATGGGATTTGACCTGGATTTCAGCTATTTTGGGTTATGTGTGGCCCCTGGGAATGGCCTGAGTGGGTTGAGAGAACAAAACTTGGTTTTTATGATGGTTTGGGATAGGTACTATGTACTAGCTATTCAACCACTAAAATATCTGTCCACTACCCCGGAACACAAATCACATACAGGGCCGAGTAAAGATTTTTGACTTGAATTATAGCTTTTTTGGGGTCGGTGCGGCCCTTGGATGTGGTTCCAAGTTGGGTTCAAGGTGTTATTTAGTTATTCATATCATAAGTGTCTATAAATATACGAGCAGTTTATTTTGACTTTTGAAGGGTTACCGTCATAAATTCTACAAATATAATTATTTTAACGTACGTGCGGCGCGCAAATCGCATACAAAATCGCATACACATTTCAGGGAAACGTCTTCTGAACGTGGTCGGCCGGGGCAGTCACATTTTAAATTCTAAAGCGGAACGCGCGGAGACGTATTCGCTGAAAATTTGTCATCACGCGAATACATTACACGATCCGTGTAGAATTAGCGAATTATGGGGGGAAAAGTTCGACATCGAATCCCGCTTTTCTCGGCGCGAGAGAATATTCGCGAAAAGTATGGGACGAACGGAAGGTTGGACATTGGATTTGAGAGGGTATACTCCAGTAGCAGGGAGGTGTTGAGTGTGCACTTCACTGCATAGAGTTTTTTGCTACTGAATCGGGTTAAATAGGTCATTGGTAACTCAAATCACCGAGGGGGGGATTTTGTGTCGCTAGTCCCAACCCTGTGGAGCCACGCCCATATTTCATATCAGGTGCGTATATGGGTAATATGTATCTCAGCTTCTGAAGGTCTTAGAGACTCAAACTTGAGTTTAAAATGACCGCAATGCACATGTTTATATTAGTACTATGAAGGTCATGAACGCCCAAAATGCTTATTTTTGGAAAAAATTCAGAAAAACCGATTTTCACTTGAGCATGAGTAAAAAATCTACTCTAGAAATTTTGTGAAAATCGAGTAAGCAGTTCACTGTCTACAAGATTTCTAAACACAGGGTCCTCTGTTAGGTCATTCTGAATCAGAATTGATAAAGTAAGCAAATTCTATAGGTAGTTTAAACCTTGTGTAGCCACGCCCATATTTCATATCATGTGCGTATATGGGAAATTTTTATCTCAGCTTCTGAAGGTCTTAGAGACTCAAAGTTGAGTTTAAAATGACCGCAATGCACATGTTTATATTGGTACTAAGAAGGTCACGAAAGACCAAAATGCTTATTTTTGGAAAAAATTCAGAAAAACTGATTTTCACAAGCAAAAAATCTACTCTAGAAGTGAAATCGAGTGTGAAGTTCAGTGTCTACAACACAGGATCCTTTATAAGATCATTCTGAATCAGAATTGATAAGGTACGCAAATTCTATTAGTAGTTTCAACCCTAGGGTGTAAAACTCCTAAATTACCCCCAGGCGCAAATATATGGCTTTTCTATCTCGGCTTCTGAACGTTGTAGGGGCCTCTCTTTGAGCTCAAACCAACTACAATGGCCAAATTTATATACCGACTATAAAGCAACATAAGGTCTATAGAGCTTAGTTTTTAGAAATTCATTAAAAACTGTTTTAACCTTCATGCATCATAAGATAGTAACATGATCAAACATGTACTTAATAATGATATCTCGGGCTAAAAAAGTCTTAGAGATATTTGCAGCACAGTAAAACGTTCAACAAGAACACATTCGGATAACATTTATGGATCAGCACATACCACCTAACTTTAATTTTGGTATAACTGCGAAAATACTCAGTTTCAGAAGCTCCTTCCAGCTATCTTAGGCTGCCGTGAGCCTTCAGCTCCCTCTCTGGGGCTCTCTCCAGTACTGCTCGGCTATTGTGGCTAATCAACTTGAATCCAACCTCATGTAGCAGAATCTACTTCTAGCTACTTTCTGCTAACTCCATGTCAACTCTACCCAGCTACCACCATAAGTTATAATAATTTTAGATCTTGTAACCTCTGATATGAGTGCTACCTCCGCTGCATCCAACAATTTCCAGCTCATTAAGGAAGAGGAAATTTGCTGTTTCTGATGGTTGCTAGATAGGGCAAGAAGTAGTCCACTAGCCTAAGCTAAGATTGCTAGAAATAGTAGAAGTTGGAGGATTCTTGGTAGTAACTAAATAGAGGTAGCCGAAGTAGGTGAAAACAGCTGGAATTGGTGGTATAGTAGCTGGATAGAGGAAGAGGTAGCATTCATATCAGAGGTTGCTAGAAAGATCTAAAATTATAACGTACTGGTGGTAGCTGGGTAGAGACTTGAGATGATGCAATGAAGGTTAAAATAGTTTTTAATGAATTTCTAAAAACTAAGCTCTATAGACCCTAAGTTGCTTTGTGCTTTATAGTCGGTATATAAATGTGGCCATTGTAGTTAGTTTAAGCTCAAAGAGAGGCCCCTACTACGTTCAGAAGCCGAGATAGAAAAGTCATATATTTGCGCCTGGGGTAATTTAGGAGTCTTGCACCCTAGGGTTGAAACTACTAATAGAATTTGCGTACCTTATCAATTCTGATTCAGAATGATCTTACAAAGGATCCTGTGTTTATAAACGTTGTAGACACTGAACTTCACACTCGATTTCACTTAACTTCTAGAGTAGATTTTTCGCTTGTGAAAATCAGTTTTTCTGAATTTTTTCCAAAAATAAGCATTTTGGTCTTTCGTGACCTTCTTAGTACCAATATAAACATGTGCATTGCGGTCATTTTAAACTCAACTTTGAGTCTCTAAGACCTTTAAAAGCTGAGATACATATTTCCCATATACGCACATGATATGAAATATGGGCGTGGCTCCACAAGGTTGAAACTACCTATAGAATTTGCTTACTTTATCAATTCTGATTCAGAATGACCTAACAGAGGACCCTGTGTTTAGAAATCTTGTAGACAGTGAACTGCTTACTCGATTTTCACAAAATTTCTAGAGTAGATTTTTTACTCATGCTCAAGTGAAAATCGGTTTTTCTGAATTTTTTCCAAAAATAAGCATTTTGGGCTTTCATGACCTTCATAGTACTAATATAAACATGTGCATTGCGGTCATTTTAAACTCAAGTTTGAGTCTCTAAGACCTTCAGAAGCTGAGATACATATTACCCATATACGCACCTGATATGAAATATGGGCGTGGCTCCACAGGGTTGGGACTAGCGACACAAAATCCCCCCCTCGGTGATTTGAGTTACCAATGACCTATTTAACCCGATTCAGTAGCAAAAAACTCTATGCAGTGAAGTGCACACTCAACACCTCCCTGCTACTGGAGTAGTACAGATACTTAGAGCCTAGATCACGTTAACCGCTATACCGGGTTTTTTTATACTGTCCATCTTCCTTTCTCCGAGAAGTCCTGTGTAGGTGTCATCTCATGACTTTCATTGCAGGTTCTTTCTTGCCGAGTCGTCCACGTGAACCCAGAGAAAGAGAAGCTGTCTCTAAGTTTGAACCTACTGGAGGAATTTGACACTAAAAACAGCGAAGAAAAGTCCGCCAGATGGGCTAGACGAGGACAAATTCACTCCTGCACAGTAAGATAAACATTCTTTCCTATTGTTTCACATTTTAGACTTAAATAAATCGGCACTTCGTTATGACAGCACTATATCACGACAAGGTTATCATGAGTTAGGGTTATAGCGCTGTCGTAATCACACAGGGTGGAACCATCTGTAAAGCTGGCAATTGACTGTCCGTATCTGTTAAACTCAGCTCTACCATTATCCTTACTACATACCGATGCTGTTTGTATCCTTACAAACACTGATGACACTATTGCAGGTACTGTCACGTGCTAAAGGTGTAATCGAGGGCTTTATAGTACAACTAGACGCTACTAAAGAAGAAGCATTCCTCCCAACCCACCACCTATCAGATTACGCCACACTGTCTGATCAGAAAACCAAACATCTCCAGCCAGGTTCCAAGATTGAACCAGTCCTTGTAATCAGCAAGAAAATGAAGAAGGTTAATGTTACCGCCAAATCGTCCATCGTCTGCTGGGCCAAAAGTTTCAAGGAAATGCCCAAAATCTCAGACCTGTCAGTGGGAGATTTTATCGTGGGCTACATCAAGGATTTCCAAGACTATGGCTGTTTTATTGAGATCGGTAACGGTTTAGTTGGGTTGTGTCCTAAAGCTTGCCTGGCTGACAATTTCGTCAGCAACCCCAAAGATGTTTACAGTTTAGGAGAGACGGTTATGTGCAAGATAACCAACATAGATACGGAAAAGGAGCGTTTGTTGGTCAGTTTAAAGCACTCCGACGTGGGGTCAGAACCGTCTTTAACAGGATCTAAACTATTGGAGGGGTATTTCAAGGAACTGGACACATTTGCAGATACCGTGGACCAACCTGCGGGATCTATAGTGGAATGTAACATTGAGAGCGTATCAGAGAAATGGTACGAAGTAAAAGTTGGAGAAGCGCCAGTGATGGTTGATAGAACCTGTGCTGAGGGCGAGCTAAAGGCTGGAGATAAGAGGAAAGGGGTTGTTTTGGATCACAGTGCAGGAACGTATTATCTGTCTCTGGAGCCGGAACTGGTGGAGAGTGTCGAGGGAAGGGGAAAGAGGAAGAAGTTGACTAAAGGAGCTGAGATGTCTGCCACTGTAGTGTTAACGACTGAAGATTACTTTGTAGTTGTTTTACCTGGGGCTGATCACAGGTTTGTGCTTTTGTGATTTCATCTCAGAAATCTTTATGATCAGTTTTTTTGATGTTTAGGCCATGTTTGTGACTTAAATATGTTTTATAGTCCAAATGTTACCATGTTAGCTAATGATCTTGATCATTGGGTTAATATTTGTATGTACCAAGAAGAATTGTGACATTTCTGTCGAAATATCATATACCTCTGATACTTAGGGTTCTACAGCTTATGATAATAAGTATCTCGCTTTAACAGCATTTAACTTTACAAGGTTTGGGTACGTGCACCGCAGAGCTCATCTCAGTGATCAAGGAAGCAGTTACAAGGATGTCAAGTGTGGTGATGAACAAACAGTCACTATCAGCAGGGACAAGAAAGGTAAGACCAGTCAGTCTGTACTTATTATCTCGTGGACATTATAGTTGTAGTTTGTTTTCAATTTGTATTTGGACAAATGTTAAGTTTTCGGGAAGTAAGGATTACACATTTTAGTTTAAAAAGTCATAAAATGTTATCAAATATTGATTTGGATCGGGTATAATCAGGTTTCACTGATATCATCACCAATTTCATAGATAGAAAACATTGAATTAAGTATATTTCTAAATATAAATACAAATTGTACTAAATACAACTATAACTGCAATACCGTCCAATCTCTTTATGGCTCTACAATCTACATCACGATAAACTATTAAACAATCGTTTAACAGACAAGATAAGACAAGATAAGACAAGATTAAGAAATTAACAAATGCCGAAACAACAATTATAACGTCCAATATTATGCTCGCTCGATTAAATTCCTCTCAAGATTGGCGGTCTCAGTGCAGCAGGCGCTCTGTGATGTTCACTATGCGTCTGTTTCTTCCAGCTTGCCGTACATCATAACCTGCGGAAAATGATCGTCAAAAATAGTTTCATGTTGCTTCACAAAACTATTACCTGTCACGTGATGTAAGGTACCCAGTCTGTAATCCTATTGTAATAGACAATAGTATAACTTACCGTGGTGAGTTTAGATCGTTTGAATATGATAACTGCAGCAGCTATGATAGCACCTAGCACTAAAATACCAGCTGTTACACCCAGTCCTATTCCCATAGCTTTGCTCTGAAGGAGATGGAAGTTTTATTATCTAGAGACTATAGGTCTGTTATGTTTTGTAAAATGTATACTGGACATTGCCTAACAAGTATCAATAGCTTAAGATTGAACATATAACGAAAGCTATCATAGCACAATTTAATCAGATATTATGCAGGGCCTAATTGAGTCAAGACCTTAAAAAATTGATTTTCGTCATTAAGTTTATACCGTTTTGGGGTGTACAGTGACGCGTGCCTCTCCCATCATCTTATGTTGGTGGGTGTGGTTAACTGCTGAATTACAACGGTACGTGAACTCTATCGGATTAGAGATGACTTTATTCTCCAGCTCACTGGTAGAAACTGTCAAGACCGACCCGGGCAGGTTGGTAGCAGTCCTCTTCACAGTTCCACATGTGAACCTGTCATCATCAGCGCAACTCACTGTAGTCTCAAACCCCTCCACCCCGTTCCACAGCGTCCACGACAAGTCATCCAGCGCTCTTGCCACATCTGTTTTGCAGGTTAAAGTGTAGGAGTTTCCCACTGTCACGTCCTGTTGTGCTGGGAATATCATGAAGGGGTGGAGCTCGTCTATATCGCTGATGATCTTTTCGTTTGAAACCAGTACACCTCCTCCGCTTAAAGTCGTGATGCACTTAACTTCTGCTCTCTCGTGTTGCTCGAAATGAAGTGCACTGCCAAACTGTTTTATGTCTGGTCTGTAGTATTCGTTGTACATGCGATCTTTAATTGTGCCGTTCATCGAGATTGAAATGTTCTCAATTGTACCCTCAACTAATTCCTTGCACTCTTCTGGCACTGCTGCGTTGAGTCCACAGGTCACAACAATTGGTTTAAACTCGTCCATACCCTCGTCCAGGTCAATGTACACGCTGTACGCTTGGAATGAGCCCTGTATCTTCTGGAATGTGGTTGCGTTAGAGCAGCTTTCTGCGGTCAGGTTGATGACCTCAGTTATTGTAGATAATACTGGGAGTGTATGCAGAGTGAAGAGTAGGATCTCCAGAAAACCAAGTGCGAACTTCATCACGAAATCTGGGCCTTAACTGGAGATATTTTCTCTGTAGAAATGCTATACTGAGAACAACAATGAACAAGGTCAAACTACAAACGAAGATTATATAAATAAACTAAATGTAGGAAGTAAATAATATCAAAACTGAAAGGTAATGGTCACGAATTTCTATCAGGAATATTTCTTAATAGTAATATTTGGCCTATAAAACTTAATTATCTCAACGAGTAAGCGGCCATTTGTGAGACTTATCACCATCATACATTCCACCGAAAGACAAAAGATAAATATCACATCAAACTGCGGTAATTGTCTTACACTTATCTATATTAACGAGATTATAGTTAAAGGCTTATACTTAAAGATTATATTATATACTATATCATATGATTATAATTATAAGTTTTGTTTTGTATTGTTTAGGGAGCATTCTTACCAGATTGGTCCAGGGTGTGTAAAAATAAAAACCGGACGTCAATTCCGAAGCGTGAACATGACGCCTTTTCATAAAAGAAGATCCCATTAAACTATTCGTATATTTACGTGACTAATTATCCGAGATCGATTCTCAAATGTATCGCAGATTACGTCCATCAATTGTAATATAAAGCGAACTTTGTCTAACAAAACCTTCTCCTCGCTTGGATGCTTTGATGCCACGTTTTTAGAGATTCTTGGCATTATCTCACCAACATGATAAAGCATGTCCCAAAACATGGATACTGAGCAATACTGAGCAGAATTAAGGGAGCTGAAACTGGTCTGTCATTTAACCAATCCGTGCACAAAACTCGGAACCCTCACCACTACTTATAGCCCCCACTCTCCAGGTACGAGACTGTTACTCTCATTTGTGAGTCCCACCCCCGAAACCGTTACCACACAACCACAACTTAAGAGGAAGAGAGAAGACCATGTTATCAAGTTTGACGATATCAATATAGGAGAAGTTTACACTGTCACTGTTAAGAGTGTAAAGCAACTTCAGCTCAATGTTCAGCTTAGTCAGAAGGTATTTGGAGTTAGCAAGTCAGATTTGTTAATGGTAATTCCTTGCATTCCAGATGTCTGTATGTCTGGTTGTCATGATCATGACGTACTGTAAATCGCACTAGTTTTATTTAGGTACTCGTGAGCTTAGATCAGAATTTTTGAAGTTTAATAAATATTTCAAATATCTTTATAACAGGTAAACGGAAGAGTACACATCACAGAAGTCACTGATTCGCCTGAACCTAGTAGTAACCCGCTCAAGGAATACAAACATGGCGATAGTCTACATGTGAAACTCATCGGATTCAGGTTAGTTCTACTGGTAACCGGGCAGAATATCTCTCTTTTGAACTAAAGACAATTAGCATTGTGACTGACACTTTTAGGATTACTCCATATCGTACCGACTGTTTCGAGATCCACTCGATTATAAGACTTAATAACCAATTACAATTAAACAATTTATTAATTAATTAAATTTAGGCATTCCAAGACCCACCGCTACCTCCCAATAACTCGGACTGACTACGTGAGATCAATGGGGGAGTTTAGTCTACGTGACTCTGTCATCAACTCAACTAAAGTCAGGGAAATCAAGGATAACGAGAAGGTATTGCGCATGATGCCCAAATATAGGCATACTCTTTGTGACGTCATCAATATGATGACGTCAGCTATGCTGAACTGCTTGTCTCATAGACTCGCAGTTCACGGTCGAACCACAATGTTTATTGCTTGGTTTATCCTGCAAACTTTAATTTGATCCAAACCATGTAAAAATGAATATTCATTTTTGAAGAAACACGAGCTATTTCCTCTACAAACAGGTATTTTTCACGATTCAGCTTTTTTCGTTTGAAACTTTAAAACTTTCACCTATATAATAAGATCAATTTATGAAGATACAAACATTTGTAACATTGCTCTGCTTTCAAAGGTCTCACCACGTTTTGTTTTTGCATCTTCTTACTCGTTTCACCTAGGTCGATGAAACAAAGGACTTGATATCTTCCCTAGTGGTGGGGCAGCAGATTACTGGTTACGTGAAATGTATAGACCATTCCGGTTTCCTCTGGATAAGTAAGTTTTACATCTCAAACTCAATGTTTTAAATTCTACTGACATAAGTTCAGCAGTTTGATCCAGCGGCTGTTTGGCTTCTAAAAACTATACCTGTACCTCCAAATAAATTTCAGTTGTTATTTTTGACTAAATACCTCTTTTGTACGTAAGGACTCTACAATTATACTAACCATCCTCTCTTCGTAGGTTTGAGTCCAGGAGTAGAAGCCAGGCTGTGGCACACACTGACCTCTTCTGACAAGGAGGAGGTAGAGAAGTGGACAGAGAGATTCACTGTAGGACAGTGTATCACTGCTACTGTCTTCAGTACCCGAGATAACAAGATAGATCTCTCCCTTGTTGGTTAGTACTTAGTACTGTGACTTGACTTGACTTGACTTAAGGCGGGTAGTATTCCCGAGATCCATTGACAACAGTTCTCCACAGCTTTCTGTCCTCCATCAGTCTAGCTATCTCATCTACTGATTTCAGCCCAGTATCTGCTTTTAGGTTATCTAGTAGTGTTAGGTAAGGTCGCCCCCTGTTAGTATGCCCATGACTCGGCTTCCAGAGGATCAGTTTGTTCAGTGTCAGCTCCGGATGTCGGTGAGCATGACCTGCAAGTCTGAGCCTTCGTTGGGTTATCTTGGAGCTGACTTTAGGAAGATCACCATACAGACTGTGGTTGCTGACATGGTCTCGATATTGATTGATGTTAAGGGCCATTCTTAACATTCGTGTATAGCAACCATCAACCATCTTCTCCAGCCTTTTCGTCATAGTCCAAGTCTCAGAACCGTATAGAAGCACCGACTCGACTAGTGCTGTGAACACTCTGGTCTTGATAGACTTTCTAAGGTTAGATTTCCAAAGTTTTTTGAGAGTGTGGCATGCTCCCCATGCTCTTCCTTTCCTAACCCTGATATCACTCTCACTGTCTCTGATTCTAGAACCAAGATAGGTAAAGTCTTCCACGTGCTCTATTGTGTTGTTACCCAGGGACTTGATGGTATCGGGGTTCTCGATGTTCTGAGTAATGAATTTGGTTTTCCCTTCATTCATTTTAAGTCCCACTGTAGCAGCAACTCTTTCTACCTCTAGCATCAGCATCTCTGCCTCCTTTACAGTATCTGCTATCAGAGCAATGTCATCTGCAAAACCAGTGTCTGTTATCTTCTCCGCCTTGACTCTCCTACTCCGATAAGGCTTAATGGTAAATCCTATTTCAGGATGCTTGCTTAAGGCTTGTCTCATGCAATAGTCAAGGGCTATAATGAACAAGTATGGTGCTAGTGTATCCCCTTGAAGAACTCCTGCCAGGATATCAAATAGCTCGGTATCCCCATCTGGTGTTATAACTTTGCCCTTCGTGTTGACATAGAGAAGATTAATGATATCTACAATACTGTCCGGTATTCCATAGGCCTTTAGTATTTGCATCAAAATTCCCCGGTGAAGTGAATCAAAGGCCTTCTTAAAATCAACAAACACCATAGCTACCGGTAAATTTCTCTGTCTGGCCCCCTCTAGAATCCTTCTGAGTGCCAAGATGTGACTAGTAGTGGACCGTCCTTCCCGAAAACCATTCTGAGTGTCCCTAAGTACCCCCTCTATAGCCGGCTGGATCCTATTAAGCACCATTCTATTAAGAGTCTTAGCTACGAGAGAAGTCAAAGATATCCCCCTCCAGTTTCCAGGGTTGGTCAAGTCTCCCTTTTTGGGAACCGGGATGATGTTACTTATCCTCCACTGATCTGGCGCAATACCATCTGTCAGGGCTTTGTTGCAGAAGGACAGCACGATTTCATCCAGGTCGCATCTTTTGAGGACTTCAGGTGGTATGCCGTCATCACCTGGTGCTTTACCTTCTTTTATCCTGTGTTTAGCAGCTTTAAGCTCATCCACAGTAAAAGGTTCTGTACTGATGTTGAGTCCTTCAAATTGAGTCTCGATCCTAGGATGCTCGTTTTCCACATCCGGTATACTCCCTAACAGATTCGTGAAATGCCCAAGCCAATTTTTCTTCCTTTCTTCGGCTCCGTTGCCCCTTATTTGAGTTGCCCCCTTGGCCTTCCTGCCAGTTATCTCATTTATGACATTCCAACTTTCTTTGTTTTTGCATCTGTCTGCAGCCATTTCGACCCTTCTAACCTTGGCAACTAGATCTTCTTCAAAGATGTCCTGGTACACCTGATCCAGTTCCGTTTTTATTAGCTTAACAGACAGTCGACTGTCTTCACTAGGATCCCGGTGATAGACAGTCTCTGCTTGCTGCAAGGCTGTACGCACGCTTTGAACTCGCTGATCACCCGCGAAATCGTCACGTCTCTTCTTCTCTCTCTTAGGCAGTATGGCTTTGTTGGTATCAGCAATCGCATCAACAAAATGCCCATACAGTTCCGTAACCTCACTTTCATCGGTTTGCTCGCATAGAGCAGAGTACCGATTCTTGACTTCTACTGCATATCTCTTCTGTAGGTCTTCATCCGATTTAAGTGCTCCCCAATTATACCAGGTTTTCTTGGGTTGCTTTTTTGCTCGTCGAAGAGATAGCTTGATCTTAGACAAAACAAGTCTATGATCAGTACCCAGTGTACTAAAGAAGCTGTAGACTTCAGTATTTTTGACACTGTTCCTCCACTTCTTCCTCACTAGAATAAAGTCTAACTGAGACTTATTCAGGGTTCCATCCGATAGGTGAGTCCACATCTTACCCCGCTTCTTTCTGAACCTGGTGTTTGTAATCTCCAGATTACATTCCAGGGCAGTATCCCGAAGCAACTCCCCATTTCTGTTGGTTCTCTCATGGAAATACCAACCAAAGTCATTCTCGTCCCTCTTTGATAGGTGAGCGTTAAAATCCCCAATCACCTCCAAGAAGTTGTGAGCAGGGATCTGTGAGACTGCACACCTTAGATCGGTATGTACTGTGAGCTTACAATTTACATAGCACTTAAGCTCTAAGCTTTAAGCTCACATAGTACTTGTTAGTTGGAGGTGGAGTTGATAAGTCGATAATATATGGAGGTTCAAACCTATACACACATTGTCTTCAATAGACATTTTGTTGAGTGAGGTATTTTGGTGATAGTTGGCAGAACTGGTGTTTACTGCTGAGACGTTACCGTATGAATGAATGAGGCAACGTTATTTTTCTATAGTATCGATCCAATAATTCAGTGGCTGCTTTTTTGGCTAATGTTACTTATTCCCTAGGTGCCTTGACTGCAGATGCCAAGTTCTGGTGCCTAGTAAAAGGAACCCTGCCTGGTATTGGTGTAAAACTGCAGCTTACAAACAGGGACTTTGGTATTGCTCCACTCACCGAACTTAATGGTGAGTCAAAAGTCATTTCAATATAATAGGTGTTAAGTTGCATTTTCTTTCGATCTCAGTGGAACTACGTTACTGGAACTAGCATAGTTTAACTTGGATTATTTTTATAATCACCAACATTATCAAGAGGGGAATTCCTAATATCGCTAGTTCTAATTAAATCCAAAACCCCACAAGATAACTACACTAAAGACCCATTGTCCAAGTACCACGAGAACGACTTGGTGCAGTGTGTAGTAGTGGTCCCTCCCACTAGCACGGACAGACGTATGACACTGTCTCTCAGGAAATCTAGGACCAGTCAGCGCTGGAAGAAAGCCAGTTCGTTAACTTCTTTATCATATTTGTCATATTTCACATATATTTAAACCATATATATAGTACTAACATATATTACAATATTTTACATATTATTTTATACTTACGGGAATCGCGAGTTCTGCGGTATTCTGCTGAAGTGGTCTCATAACACTAAAAGTAAAGCGATTTATTTTCAGCTGGAGGTCGGAAGGCAGCTAACAAGATTATCAGTAACCCGGCGGATCTTGAGGTTGACTCAGTGTACAGCGGCTATGTTAGATCCACTTCAGCTACTGCTGGCATTTATGTGTCCCTCGGATACAACGTTACAGGTATAATCAGTGTAAAAACGTAATAGTGATCTGTATGGTTTTCTATTCTTGATTGTAGGGAAGCTTTTTGTAACTCGTCTTTACCTAAAGAGTGGTATACTCTTACCTGTAATCGTCATTGTACCACATTTTCAGGACGGGTGCTTATGAAGAACATGTCTGATAATTTCCTCAAGAATTGGGAACCCATGTTCCCCCTTGGAAAACTCGTGAAAGTATTCGTACTGCACACAGATCCTAAGGTTTGTTTTTAATATTTACTTAAATTGTTCAGAGGACTTCAAGAAAAGTATCGCTGCCGCTGTGATGAATACTGAAATCAATCTTTTAATTCATTTTTTCCCTTGTAGGTGGAATTAAGCATGAAATTGTCTGACCTGAAGAAAGGAAGCAAGAAGGAGGAGGAAGAAGAGGGAGGAGAGGAAGAAGTGCAAAGGTAGGGTTTTAGGAAATCTCATTTAATGTCTCTGTTAGTACTTCTCCTGAATTTAATGTAATTTTCCTCTCGATAATAATAAAAGAAATAATAAAAGATATTGATTTATTTGCGAGTGACTCATGAGTCATGAGTATCATACGAGCAGTCTCTGCATCTGACAGACTGATGGTTGAATTGAGCACTACTCGATCAAGTTCCCCAGTGTTAGATATTTCCTACGAAAAGCGCCCAAATATCGGAATACCTAATTGCAAGCAGGAAGAAAGTTATTCTACAATGTACAAAGTAATTATGTTACTAACTATGCCTCTCGGGGAACACTATCGAACACTCCAGGCAAATAAAGTCCCGCTTCTCCTTATGTTTTATTCGAGTGTGCTGAATCATGAAAAATTGATGGTAAGATATAAGAATAAAAAGTTGCTATGAATTGAATCTTTGAGTACACGAGACATTTATCGTGGCAAAATGGCGGCATAACTCAGATTCAGAAGCACAGATGACAAAAGTAGATCGTTACTGGAGTATTACCTTTTGCAGACCGCACTTCGTCTGATACTTCCTACTACAAGTTTGACGAACAAAATTAGCTTTGTCGGACATAATTCTAAAAAATGGTTATGATCGATAATAATCATCTTTCTAAAAGATCTGATCTAGTTGGTAGTTTAATATTGTGCCTTGCCGATTTAAAATAATATATAATATATATGTGTAGTCGACAAATTTAACCTATAGTTTTTCCAATCTAATCTGTTTCTTCAAAACATGATGTAGAGTGTTCGTTTGTGCAGGCATCTTGGTAGTGTCACTAGTGTATCAACACTTTGTTACCTGCCAACCTATCACGTTTATCTTGTACAGTACCTTTCTCCTCCGCTGCTCTTGTCTGAGTGCTTTGATAACAGCAGAGTGTTAATAAACGTTTGAACATTACCAGCAATATTAATAACAGAACTGCTTATTGTAATTATACTTTGTTTCTTCTCGTCGGTATTGTCCCGTGGGTGTAGCTCTAAACGTTCCGGCCGTAAAGCTTTATCCATTGTTGACAGTAACTGGTATCTGTCTAGAAGTCTATATTATCAAGGAATTGATTTTGATCCTGAAATATATAACTGGGTAACCCAGCAATATCTTAATCTACGAGTCGCACATCTGATAGTTTAAACCAACATTGTCATTTAACTTTTTCTTCGCACTAACTGTCGTCTCCGGTCTCATGGCCATAATTACCCAGATTAACAATCTCACAGGATTTAAAACATTTTTTCCAATGTACATACATGTTATAATGGTTCAGAAATTATCTACTTGCTTAGTCGGATTCCGTTATCACTTAAAAAGAATTATTTTCAGACTAAAATAAGAAAGATAGTCAATTATGAATTAGGTATACGTACCTTTTTCAAATAATCTTCCAGGGATCGTAAATCTTTGAGAGAAGGATCTAGGATTGAAGTTATGTAGTGTATCAGGAGCGATGGAAGTCGTGTGTCCCATTTACACAATCTTGAAATGTCAATCATCAGAGTCCGATTCTCGTCTTCTTTTCTCCCTGACTCGAACTTAAAGAAATTTCCCGCTAAATTCTTGTGTACATCGCCGTTTTGGCAGTTGCCAGTTGAAAACTTCCACGCTCGGCAGAATTATAGCTGAAGTAGGGTCTGGTTAGTCAAAACTTTAAAAATTAAAATTAATGGAATAGGATGAACGTTTGTGCAAACATACCTTCTCCTTCTCCAACTTTAACCTCTTAGTTTTTAATCGTCCTGACCTCGCCACGGCCCCCCTCTTCATCACCCTTGGCGTTACGGCTATTGTGCCCTTTCGGGTCTTCTTCGGTGGTACTCCATGTACTCCAGTCTATATTGGAATGTCCAATTAGTTCGTTTGACGAACAAAATTAGCTTTGTCGGACATAATTCTAAAAAATGGTTATGATCGATAATAATCATCTTTCTAAAAGATCTGATCTAGTTGGTAGTTTAATATTGTGCCTTGCCGATTTAAAATAATATATAATATATATGTGTAGTCGACAAATTTAACCTATAGTTTTTCCAATCTAATCTGTTTCTTCAAAACATGATGTAGAGTGTTCGTTTGTGCAGGCATCTTGGTAGTGTCACTAGTGTATCAACACTTTGTTACCTGCCAACCTATCACGTTTATCTTGTACAGTACCTTTCTCCTCCGCTGCTCTTGTCTGAGTGCTTTGATAACAGCAGAGTGTTAATAAACGTTTGAACATTACCAGCAATATTAATAACAGAACTGCTTATTGTAATTATACTTTGTTTCTTCTCGTCGGTATTGTCCCGTGGGTGTAGCTCTAAACGTTCCGGCCGTAAAGCTTTACTGTTGACAGTAACTGGTATCTGTCTAGAAGTCTATATTATCAAGGAATTGATTTTGATCCTGAAATATATAACTGGGTAACCCAGCAATATCTTAATCTACGAGTCGCACATCTGATAGTTTAAACCAACATTGTCATTTAACTTTTTCTTCGCACTAACTGTCGTCTCCGGTCTCATGGCCATAATTACCCAGATTAACAATCTCACAGGATTTAAAACATTTTTCCCAATGTACATACATGTTAAAATGGTTCAGAAATTATCTACTTGCTTAGTCGGATTCCGTTATCACTTAAAAAGAATTATTTTCAGACTAAAATAAGAAAGATAGTCAATTATGAATTAGGTATACGTACCTTTTTCAAATAATCTTCCAGGGATCGTAAATCTTTGAGAGAAGGATCTAGGATTGAAGTTATGTAGTGTATCAGGAGCGATGGAAGTCGTGTGTCCCATTTACACAATCTTGAAATGTCAATCATCAGAGTCCGATTCTCGTCTTCTTTTCTCCCTGACTCGAACTTAAAGAAATTTCCCGCTAAATTCTTGTGTACATCGCCGTTTTGGCAGTTGCCAGTTGAAAACTTCCACGCTCGGCAGAATTATAGCTGAAGTAGGGTCTGGTTAGTCAAAACTTTAAAAATTAAAATTAATGGAATAGGATGAACGTTTGTGCAAACATACCTTCTCCTTCTCCAACTTTAACCTCTTAGTTTTTAATCGTCCTGACCTCGCCACGGCCCCCCTCTTCATCACCCTTGGCGTTACGGCTATTGTGCCCTTTCGGGTCTTCTTCGGTGGTACTCCATGTACTCCAGTCTATATTGGAATGTCCAATTAGTTCGTTTTCTCATAACAACATACCTTCTCTTTTAGGCGTCCTGACCTCGCCACGGCCCCCCTCTTCATCACCCTTGGCGTTACGGCTATTGTGCCCTTTCGGGTCTTCTTTGGTGGTACTCCATGTACTCCAGTCTATATTGGAATGTCCAATTAGTTCGTTTTCTCATAACAACATACCTTCTCTTTTAGGCGTCCTGACCTCGCCACGGCCCCCCTCTTCATCACCCTTGGCGTTACTGCTGTTGTGCCCTTTCGGGTCTTCTTCGGTGGTACTCCATGTACTCCAGTCTATATTGGAATGTCCAATTAGTTCGTTTTCTCATAACAACATACCTTCTCTTTTAGGCGTCCTGACCTCGCCACGGCCCCCCTCTTCATCACCCTTGGCGTTACTGCTGTTGTGCCCTTTCGGGTCTTCTTCGGTGGTACTCCATGTACTCCAGTCTATATTGGAATGTCCAATTAGTTCGTTTTCTCATAACAACATACCTTCTCTTTTAGGCGTCCTGACCTCGCCACGGCCCCCCTCTTCATCACCCTTGGCGTTACGGCTATTGTGCCCTTTCGGGTCTTCTTCGTTGGTACTCCATGTACTCCAGTCTATATTGGAATGTCCAATTAGTTCGTTTTCTTCCACGCTCGGCAGAATTATAGCTGAAGTAGGGTCTGGTTAGTCAAAACTTTAAAATATTAAACTTAATGGAATAGTGATATTCAATAATGATGTTCAATAATTTTAACTATATAATTTAACTTATTATTATAAATCATAAAATCGTTTAATGGGTACGGTGTCTCTTGTATTAACAATATGTTAAAACACGGAGCTCCTATTTTCATGATTATGGATTTTAAGCAAAATCTCTTTGCAGAGACGTTTGCAGGATGTTTCTCCTCAATCTGAATAGAAAGACATCATTAGAACAAGCACAAAACAAACCGACAGTAATGTCAGATTTCTTCGTATTAGCGTGTTCTTTCAGGTTAATCCAGAAGAGTTCTCGGTCAGAAAGAGCCTGACGATGATTTTCAGTGGAAGTCTGATCAATATAATCAATAATTTGTACAGAAGCTTAGTTACCGTCTGTTTAGTTACCGTTCCTGCTCATCATCCTTGTTTAGCTTCCCCGGTAATGATTCGCGTAATAACGTGGCGTGTGCACACTCGAATGCTTCAACTCTAACATCCGTTTAGACTCTGTCTAGTCTTTCTCCATGGTGCACGGGAACACTCTATAATAACTCGGTAAAATGCTTAGGTCCTCCTCAAGGAGATCCATGTAGTGACAAGCGCAAGCTGCTGTTACTCTGTGAGGATGTCAAGCTGCTGTTACTCTGTGAGGATGTCAAGATGTTGTTACCCTGTGAGGATGTCAAGCTGCTGTTACTTTGTGAGGATGTCAAGCTGCTGTTACTCTGTGAGGATGTCAAGCTGCTGTTACTCTGTGAGGATGTCAAGCTGCTGTTACTCTGTGAGGATGTCAAGCTGCTGTTACTCTGTGAGGATGTCAAGCTGCTGTTACTCTGTGAGGATTTACATGTCAAGATGTTAAGGATGTGAGATGCTCCCTCCATTTCTGGAAGTTGAGCTTGGGCAGCTTTGAAATCTTATCCGCTATCGGTGACAAAGTGGCTTAACCGTTCTACCGTTTACACCCTTTTCAATAGGACCTTTTGTTGTTGTTGTAAATTAACGCTTTCGAATCAGATATTTTAAACTCGCTTAAATCAAAACATGACATTTTTCAAGTACAATCTTGAAATGTCAATCTTCACAGTCAGTTTTCTCCC